TGAGTCTTTATATATATATATTAAGATATCACCACTTTCCAAATGGTCAATTTCTGTTTACAAGCTGAGGGACAATTGAAGAGAATTTACTGCATTTTCCTTTAACTTATATTAATAACTATAAAGAAAGTAATATCATACCACACTAAAATTGTTACTTTATCGTTGAAAATCGGTAATGAGAATAAGTAGGCACTATTTCATTAATCGTATGACCTATACAATATTGAATTCCTACACATTAAATTGCTATTAAATGCTATTAAATTATATAATATGTACAGTAAATTCTCCCCAATTTTCCTTCAGTTTGTACACAAAACTAGACAATTTGGGAAGAGGAGATACAATTATTCGAGCCTCGCACCTCGTTTTTATATCGAATTTACTGTATTAATAAAATTCCAAATAAGGAACGACTATCACAAACAATTTTTGCTTCGCAACTGACATTACATAGAATTCACTGCTGGAACATGTAGGAGACGGAACATTGTCAATTAAGAGCATGAGAACCACGTAAGAAAGCAACGCTGACCGGAAGTTCCGATGGCCCGTAAACATGAGTGAAGAATTGGCAAAAAAATATTATTCTCCGACTGAGTCAAAGTTGAAACGTATTTCGTTGGATGAATTGTAATACGCGGAACGTCGTTTTAGAAGAGACATGCAACCACGGTGCATTTTACTATTTCCTTTCTCCCTTTCTATTCGTCTTAATCTTTCGTCCGCCGGTGTCCGAGTGCCGTAGACACGAGAACCATTTTATGGAGATGTTTTCTGGACATTTCCAGAGCGTTAATCCCCGACGATAGATTACACGGTGATTCCGTAAGTAAACTCGTGCAAGGAGCATTCTCTCTCTCTCTCTCTCTCTCTCTCTCTCTCTTTCTCTCTCTCTCTCTCCCTCTCTTTCTCTCTCTCTCTCTCCCTCCCCCCTCTCTCTCTCCCTCTCTTTCTCTCTCTCTCTCCCTCCCTCTCTCTCTCTCTCCCTCTCCCTCTCTTTCTCTCTCTCTCTCCCTCCCTGTCTCTCTCTCTCTCTCTCCCTCTCTTTCTCTCTCTCTCTCTCTCTCTCTCTCTGTCTCTCTGTCTCTCTGTCTTGATGACCCCAAAAAGTCCTGGGATTTTAATCTTCAAAAGTTGATTGCACGATGATTGCGCACACGAGGCTGCTCGGCGACCATTTCGTGCCTCCCAGAATTGTAATCTTCAGAAGTTGATTACACGCCGAGCAGTCCAAATTGCATAATGCCCGTTTTGTATTCCCATCAGTTAAAAAGTCCCAGAACATTCGTGTGTCGGGATTGTTGGCCGCATATTAATGGCGCCCCGTAAGGACGCGCACGCACGGTTCCGTACCGTGATGACCCAAACGAACCCACAATTTCAGTCGTCCGCTAATTGTGCCGCCATTGTGCCGCGCGGGCAGAACCGCGCGGATGAATCTTTATCGTCGCGGAGAACGATTCCGCGCGCTGATACGCTACCATATTTCTTTTTTGTTTCCAATGATGTTCCAGGACCCAGTTGCTGTCGGAGGCGGTCACACAGATATTCTTAACGACGGTGTTGTACTGGCTCTATCTGTTGCTGGTCTACATCGGTCGCAAAATAGTGACGACGTCGCCGCCATTAAGGCTGAGGGTCGGCCCGTGTTGCTGCTGGCCCTGCCTGCCCTTTCCGGAACTCGAAATGTCCGACGCCAATTTGTCCTGGCTCGGGCTCATGGTCCTCCAGCTTCCTATTATCCAGGTTATTTCTTATTTTCCGCTGACTTCACTTTCTCGACGTCGAACCCGACTCTCGTCGTGCCTACCGCGGCGAAGGTTTCTCGGTCATTAACTTAACAGAGAGGCTACCACAGTATTCATGGAAAACAGCTTGCATTATTTTCCGAAATCTCCGCGCCTAACGAACAGGTTTTTTTTTCTCTATTCCTCGTTCTTGCGCTATTCACAAATTCCACCCGTCATCTGTTTCGAGAGTGCTGTTCTTTTATTTCTTCGCGATGGGGCTGTCATTTTTGAGCCGGGCTGTGTGCTTTTTGTGCTATTATTTGCGTAGAGTATTTTCTTTTCAATACCGAAACAATCGATGGGAATATTCTTTACGGTGAGTGCTAAAATTCATTGATTTTTAAAGTCGAAAATACTCAGTGGAAAAATTTTCTGGAAACATTCACACAGTTAAATGGTTTATAATATTATAATATATTATATAATATATAATAATTATTATAATTATAATTATAATATAATATATATAATAATTATTATTATAATTATAATATAATATATATAACAATAATTATTATAATATAATATACATAACAATAATTATTATAATATAATATACATAATAATAATTATTATAATATAATATATAATATAATATATGATTTTGTAACGTGCAAGGTTAGTATACAGATTTTATCCAGTCATGACAAAACAGAAATTCTCTTAATAGAATTTAAGAATGTTATATTATTAAGACTGCGGATTTTCATTTAATAATTTTAATGAGTTGAATGTAATATAATATAATAGTATAATAGACCATTGGAAGGGGCTGAAAAGTCGTGGGGACTAATTTGTTGCTCACCCTGTATACTTAGAAATTCTGTGAATACATTTGCACTGATTTGCAATTTAATTTGGAATTTAATTTCGGAATTCAAAGTCTAGTTACTATATCTAACTTGCTAAAATTATTTAATGATAATTAAACGTATAGTCGATGCATGAAATTGATAAAAATGACGAAAAGTTTTTCGTACGGTTATTTTTCGTTCTCGTTAGTAAGTTAATTAGTATTATTAAGATCTCTGTTGTTTCTTTGCAGACGCTATCTTATTGCATATTCCTGATCATGTCGATCGAGGAGCCTAACCTAATAACAAAATACGGCATATGGCTGCAGCCAATCTGTATGACTAGCATACTTTTCGGAATATATGGGCTGACTATTACGGTGAAGAGTCTGCAGGAAGTTGCTCCAGGTAAAAATCGTGTATGCTTAATTAAGAGGAAGGATCGGACTGCATAATCTGGTCCTGTTATCTGCGCGCCGCCGTACGACATTATTCAAAACACGCGACCGCAAAGCAATTTTCTGCGTTTCCCTTCGCCTCGTCCACGCGTCCCCGCCGACGTTATTATCGATCCCCAGAACCCGAATTCGAATCTTCTTTGCGGGATTTATCGGACGTTTCGCAAAACGTATTTCGATCGTTCGAAATCACTGTAACTGTAGACTATAATTATCTCAAGGTTATTTTCTTATTTTTGTTATTTTGGTTATTTGGTTACTTTGATTATTTATGTTCTTTTTGTTATTTTGGTTAGTTCAGTAATTTTGGTTATTTTGGTTATTTTAGTTATTTTGGTTATTTTGGTCATTTTGATTATTTTGGTTATTTTGGTTATTTTGATTATTTTGATTATTTTGATTATTTTGATTATTTTGGTTATTTTGGTTATTTTAATTATTTTAATTATTTTGATTATTTTGATTATTTTGGTTATTTTGGTTATTTTAATTATTATAATTATTTTTATTATTTTTATTATTTTGGTTATTTTGGTTATTTTGCTAAGTCTCGTCGAATTGTTTCAAATATTATAGCAATCGATTAGTGGCAATTTTTTCTTCAATGTCACTTGAAAGTCATCAATCAACGTCGTTGAATTCGTGACGACGTCGCCTAAAATGCTACGAAGTTGAAATTACCAAATTTCATCTACAAATATAACGGTGGTCTTATCAAAAATCAATATGTTTCTAAATTTCAAAAAAAAGGTTATTTTTGTACACAGGGGCAAATTTCGGGCGAACTTGACGCGAGCGTGGATGAAAAATTCGATGAACTTACCAGGAAACTAAAATAATTGCGTTCCGGGAATGAAGCACGACTTATTCGCGCTGTTTTCGGCGCTCGTTCACGAATTACCATAAATGGTACATTCGCCGCGTCCGAATGCGAGCGTACAAATTCGATTCCGTCCGTTAAATATTCCGAGAAGTTCATTCCGAAGCGGCGAAAGTAAGAGCAGAGAGTGCCGGCAACCGAACGCCTAGCGATTATCCCGTGGGACCACACAAGTAACGCGGGACAGGAAGCAATTTCCATGGTTTTGGGAAACCCCCATTGTCCCCCGCCCCCATGGCGCTAATGGATATATACGCTTCTGACCTGCGGTCATTTTCACAGAGGCGAAACTGCATCGCAAAGCCTCGGTGTCCCAGATGGTGCTGCTGTTCTCCAAGCTGCAGGGGTTCATTGTCAAGAGTTTGTCGCAGACGGGCCTGTTTCCATGCGACCCGCCAATCACGCCGCAGATCTACGCGAACGGTAATTCTCTCCTTCATTTTTCGTCTCGCGAAGAAAACGAAAATAATGGTCGCGTTTATAGTAACAATGACGGCAACGACTCGCCGGGCGACGAGTCGCGAACCTCCTTCCCAGCCTTTTCAGCCTTTTCGTATTTTAATGCGACTCATTGTCGACGAGGCGCGCCGAGAACCATCGATCAACCTGCGGTTAGCTGCCCGAAGTTTCTTTCAATTCATCGCGAGTTCGATTTCAATGCGACTTCGTTTTGCGTCACGAACGCGAATATTCCTCTTTTCGGTTACAAAACATTCGGTCTGACCACACTTGAACTTTCAACGTTGCCTTTAGAATTCTGTCCAAGTTCGGCGTCGTCAAAATGACACGTTTTATACAGGGTGTCCCAAAAATGTGTTGTTCAATGTCCAATCTGGAATGGGGTGATTCCTGAGGTTATTTGAAGTAACTTTTTCCTCAGCGAAAATGCGATCCGCGGCTTCGTTTACGAGTTATTAGCGAAAAACAGTGACCAATTGGAAAGCAAGAGCGGCCGGTGCTCCGCCCTTACGGTCAATACCGCGTCGCGTTGGCCGTCTGACGCAGCGGCAGTGGTCGCGAGGGCGGGGCGTTAGCCGCGCACAATCTCTCATTGGTCAGTGTTTTTCGTTAATAACTCGTAAACGAAGCAGCGGATTGAATTTTCGTTAAGGAAAAAGTTACTTCAAATGACCCCGGGAATCTTTTCTGGATTGCGAGACACATTTTTGAGACACTCTGTATTTTTTACTTCAGACTTATCGAAATCACGAAGGCTCCCTTATAGGAGACGATTGAACGAACTTCGGGATTCAAGCACACGACGTAATGAAAATAGCGATAGATTCCAATAAATTCAGTCTCGTTTTGCGCCATTCTCGTGCGAAATCTGGCCTTCGTGGCGAAATTTTAAATTTTATGCATATCTAACGGTATATGACACATATCATACTGTGTAGACCATTCGCTAATCTAGTACATAATAGCACATTTATACAACGCGCATTTTTAATAACCTTGTACTATAAAAACAGACGAGAAGAGGTTCTCTTGCAATTTCAATTTTCGAATGCTTTCAGTAGACTGCGGATTCGATGCATTCATGACAAAAATGAGTAGATCAAATACAGAACAGTAGATATACACTTAAAGAATTTAAAAATGGTATTGCATTATTTCGAACTCAATGAAATACAGTAAATTCTCCCTGATTGACGCTCAGATTGCACACAAAAATGGGCAATTTGGGAAGAGGAGATACGATTATTCGAGCCTTGTACCTCATTTTCGTCAACTCCTCTCCCCAAATTGACCATTTTTGTGCCCAATCAGAGCGTCAATTAGGGCGAATTTACCCTAATTAAAGAATGAAAGATACGTCCACGCAGCTTCTGTGTCTTGCAATTAACGCAGGCAATTTTTAAAAAACGCCTAACAGCCTGCAGGCCAGTTAACAGATAAAACTAGAATTTCCGTTTCAATATTCATCCCCAAGCAGCGAGTTCTCTTCTCGGTTTTGTTTCGGTACGGCCGCGCATCCGGCATCTAAATCGAAATTCCGTGCAACTCGAATGCGCCTAGAACGCGAACAAGAAACATCAGGCAGTCCATAACATTTCCATACGAGCTGAGATAAAGCGAACAAGAACTGTTACTTTCTCCCGAACGATTTCAGTAACCTACAATGGCCTGATGCTAATCGAGATGCTGTTGCTCTGCTACGCTGCGAGGTACGTTTATTACGTGGACCTGGAAAGGGAGGAGAACACGTCGGCCGAGGCGACAGATCGGCCGAGAGACAAGACTACAGAACAAGCGGGCGCAACGAATAACAACGAGGCCGGCAAACAGCCATCGTCGTTCACCGCTATGGATTTCGCTCCTAAGCTCGCCGTTGCGCCAAATACCCAATTAACAAGCCCTCGGAACAACGAGAATCAGATTTGATTCGCTCGTGTGTGCTTTGGTCGTGCGCAAGGTTGTTGCACGCTCGGCTACAGATCCGGGAAAAATCGATCTTGCATAAGATCGAGGTGATTCTGAAGGACGCGGCTGAAAATAGGCGAATTTTGGCGATTGCGCGTTCTAATTTACCTGGCGGATGATTAGAATTGTTATGTGAAGAGTAATTGAATACGGGAATATTGCAGTTTATTTGTTTCATTTTGACGATGATCTGGGTTTATAGTAATTTCTCCCTAATTCTCCCTAATCCGCGCTCAGATTGCGCACAAAAATGGACAATTTGGGAAGAGGAGATACGATTGTTCGAGCCTTTCGGCTTGATTTTATAGTTACCGATTGTCAACAACTATAAAAACGAGGTTTAAGACTCGAATTTATAGTTAACAATTGTCAAGGTTACAATTAATCAAGTACAATAAATTTTCCCTAATTGACGCTCAGCTTGAAAACAAAAATGGACAATTTGGGAAGAGGAGATACGATTATTCGAGCTTTTTGGCTTGATTTTATAGTGACTGATTATCAACAACTATAAAAACGAGGTGTAAGGCTCGAAGTTATAGTTACCAATTATCAAGAACTATAAAAACGACCCGAAAGGCACGAATAATCGCACCTCCTCTTTCCAAATTGTCCATTTTTGTGCGCAATCTGAGCGCGAATTAGTTAGAAAATTACTATATACAGTAATTTCTCCCAATTTTTCCTTCAACTTATCCATGGATAATTTGGGAAGAAGAGATACAATTACAATTTTATAATTACCAATTATCAGCAAATATAAAATGAGCCGCAATACTGAAATAATCGTAACCTCCTCTTCGCAAATCGTCCATACTTGTTTCCAAGCCGAGCGTCAATTAGGCAGAATTTACTGTAAACACTGAAAATGAGAATGCGATTATTTGTGAAAATTAAAAAGAAAAAAGAAAACAAGAAATGATTGATAAAAGTAACTGACTTGTCATGAACATCGACCTAAGCCGAAGTTTCACCTATTTGCAAACGTGTTCTTTACTCTGGAGATGCGATTTATTAATATGTACATATTTAACGTCTCAAAGACGTTGTACCAGAGTGATTATTTGTAATCGTACTATCTCCTGATAGCTTGTAATTTATAAGGACTGATTAGGGAATCGTGGAAGACTTTGTTACTATGTTCGAAGCAACTATGTGCCCATTCTATTAAGTGCGTTACCTGCATAGTTATGGATTATTGTAGCAGTAACTTGTAAAATTAAGTCGCTTTCATTGTACTCGGATTGGTCGACGCGAACTGTTATACAGAGTGTCCCAAAAATGTCTCGCAATCCGGAAATGGCGAGTTCCTCAGATCATTTGAAGCAGCTTCTTCCTTTACAAAAATGTTCTCCGATGCACCGTTAACGAGTTATTAACGAAAAACAGTGACCAATAAGAATCGCGCACGAAGCCCAGTTCCGCTCATTGGCTCGGTCGCCTCGCGCCAGCTGAGCTCGCCTCTCATTGGTCACTGTTTTTCGTTAATAACTCGTTAATGGTGCCTGGGAGAAAATTTTTTTAAAGGAAAAAGTTGCTTCGAATGACTTGAGGAACCCGCCACTTTCAGATTGCGAGACATTTTTGGGATACCCTGTATTATAGTACGTGAAGTTATACCAATAACTGTTGTCGAATCGATATACAATAATGAATAACGAATGTTGGTCGAAAGATCGTGTAAATAAATTGACAGTGTTTGTAGATTGTAATACGGTTCCAGTTACTTTGACGAAGTAATGTAATGTAAGTAATTCTACGTTTTTATATGTTATTATACCGTGTGAAAAGCTTGTATGACGTTATCTTTCTAAATACATTTTCCAATTGGTGTAATGTAGAAGTAGATAGAACTGAGAGAAAATGGTCTTGTAACCGTTTTGGTTGGGATACGTGCAAACATAATGTAATACTTCGTACGAAGTTTATTATACAGCCGGACTTTGTACGTTTATGCTGTACGATCATGTTTATACTCGCGCGTTAGCCGTGAGATAATATATATTATATACAGAGATAGTGATAATGATATACTGTAAATAAATTCGTACAGAATTCAGATTTTAACAAATTGGAACAAACTGTATTCTTTTGTAGTTACGAAGACCTTCACCGAAGCTCTTGCTTCTTATTTTATGATTTTATCTTATCTGAAAAATCTTATCTTCCGTTTAATTATTGCTATTGTCATCGAAGTTTCTATATAATTTGCCACTCTAGAAATAATCAAAAGACTGGAACAAGATTACAAAATTCATTTATCGCATTATCTGACACCTGACTTGCATCATCTAAAAAAATTGTTCATGCTATCGAAGAAATGGAGTTGATATACTGAAACAGAAATTATTCATAATTCAGTATGATCGACCTGGTACGTAAAAAAAGCAATTCAGTTGCACATTTCTTTAAAATAGAAAGAAACATCTCTCGCAAATGCTATTTTGTTTTAAGGAATTTAATGTTTTCAGTATCATGAAATTGCTTGGTATTTGTACTAGACTCATATATCATTGTATACGTGTTTATAACACTATCAAATATACAGGATGTCCTAAAAATGTCTCGCAATCCGGAAATGGGGGATTCTTGAGGTCATTTGAAGTAACTTTTTCCTTAGCGAAAATGCAATCCGCGGCTTCGTTTACGAGTTATTAACGAAAAACACTGACCAATGAGAGGCGAGCTCGACTGGCGCGAGACAGCCGAGCCAATGAACGGAACTGGGCTTTCGTGCGCTCGTTGGCTGGACCGCCTCGCGCCAGCCGAGCTCGCCTCTCATTGGTCCGTTTTGTTTTGTTAATAACTCGTAAACGAAGCCGCAGATTGCATTTTCGCTAAGGAAAAAGTTATTCCAAATGACCTCAGGAATCCTCCATTTCTGTACAGCGAGACATTTATGGGACATCATGTACACTGTACTGTCTCTAATTATATATAATTTCGACACTTATTAATCCATATAGCTCACGATGTCTTAAAATCGTCTCGAATGCGTAAAAACAGTGGTTTCGTGCAATCTGTGAAACGTCACAAAATCATCCAAGTACACAGTCTGCAAAAAAATAAGAAGATACGCAACATATGATGACAGTGAATATCCTGAAATTTCCATCACGGTAAATGAGCATAAGAATAAGTGCATTGCCACGTCGAAGCAGAACAGTCCCTCGAGAGCTATCACGGATTGCACTAACTTCATCTTTCGACGATAGCTCGTAAGCACGGCCTACCGCAGTCCCGACCGCGCATCAAAGTCTCCGGGACGCAGGAGCGGTAGCTGTCGCTCCGTTGATGAAGACAACCCATACGTCGCCGGTTCCGTGGATTCAGCAGCCGTCAGGACGCATTATCGCATCGCGTGGAGCCTGACAAATCACAGTGGGTGCTCAACCAAATGACTTGCAACCTCTGCGCGCGGCTCTTACGAAACGGAACAGGGGCTGGATGGACCCTCGAGTTCCTCGAGAGGAACGAAGTGCCTCTCCGGCCGTGGCGATGCCACGCTCTCGAGGCAGATCGCTTCAGAAAAACCTTGTGTCCTTACGTTGCAACTAGAGAGCTGCATCCTCCGACGTGTAATTATCGTCGGCGCGTAATCACCTTAAAATAATGGGTTAGACGAGGCGGCGACTTTTTGCCCGAACCTTGATGGAACTCGGGGGCGGCTGTGCCGAGGCCTGAACCGTCGCCAATGATTCGACCGTCTTCGGGGTACTCCACACTCTTGATAGCGTCGAAGACGGCGAAAGCAAATGTAGCCGGTGATGAGACTCGGCACGATGATTCCCGTTCTCGAGTATCTACGGTTTCGTCGGCGGCTGCGACGTTCGCACGTGGATCGGAATTCTTCGTAGATGCGAAGAGGTTTTTATCGGAATTGCGACGATCGGGCGCTTTTTAAGCGGTCTAGAGATAATTAATTGATTTCAACTCGAGGATTCAATTATCCTTTTCGATTCATTCTCGTGGAATTCAACAATTTTTAGAAATGCTACTTGTATAATCTATTAAATACTGATTTTATTCGTTCCTTTTGGATTGATATAAAATTCTATAAAGTTCTACAAAATTCTATAAAATTCTATGAATTTCTACAGAATTCTATAAAATTCTATAAAATTCCACGAAATTCTACAAAATCCTACAAAAATCTATAAAATCCTACAAAATTCAATAAAATTTTACAGAATTCTATAAAATTCTACAAAATTCTATAAAATTCTACAGAATTCTATAAAATTCTACAAAATTCTATAAAATTCTACAGAATTCTATAAAATTCTATAAAATTCTATAAAATTCTATAAAATTCCACAAAATCCTACAAAATTCTATAAAATTCTACAAAATTCTACAAAATCCTACAAAATCCTACAAAATCCTATAAAATTCTATACAATTTTACAGAGTATCTCAGTTAGAATAGTTAGAATATCTCAGTTAAATAGTTTCCGTAATTGTCTGAAATACATGTTGAATGAATACATGGTAGGGTTTATCTACTCCTGTGCAATGGTCATGACAAAGATGATTATTTATTATTTAGTCAGAATATTTCTTCGTCTGCTTTACAGGCATTTCCAGCTAACTCGAGCAAACGAGTCATCCTAGCAGAATCACACGACCCGACATGACCCGCAATAAACGGGTACCCGGAGCGTCGCCTCAATACGGATACCACGGTCCTTTTTATAAATAATTTATTGTGTGCATTGCGCATTAACCGGGCGAGAGATGTTGACACACGTGCAGCTGGCCGGAATTTCGCGCGTGGACGCAACATGGAGACCGGTAGCGGAGCGGACACGGTCGCGTTAAGTCAAAAAATCAACATTAAAGCGGCGGGCGTGCTTAAAAAGCCCTTTGCCGGGCCGATGAGTTCTTTGACGCAGATGCCCGGGCCGGTCCCGCGGTGCATGACTTCACCTTTTCATCGTGGCCAAGAAAAAACGCGCCACGGTTCCGTGGATTTCGGGCGAATCGCCCGGGGCGACCGAGGAAAGTGGGCCCCGGTAGGTTGCGCCGATCGAACATTCAGCTATTTTGTCGCCGCAAATGAGATAGAGGCATGCAATCTCTTCCTTGAATCGCTGTACGAGTCCTGAGTAAAGGAAAAAAAGCAAATCCAATTATGGTTTAACGATGTAATGGGCTCCGGTGCAGATGGCGCGGTACTAGGCGATTATGGTTACCTGGAAATTCGAGGAAATTCGAGGAAACGGACGCTGAACTTCCGATTTCTTATGTTAAACGATATAGTACATTATTTATGGAATATTTTGTTAACATGGCAGAGAGCATTAGAACACTTTTCAATATTTACGATCGTAAAGATAACGATGGACGTTGTTAAGAAACTGTTCTGAATGCTCGGGAATGATTGCAGCCTTTTTAAATCAGTGCTTTATTTTCTCAATTTCAATCTAGTTTTTATATTATTTTTATGGCATTATACCGTATCCGCATTGTGTGAATTCTATTCGGATCATGTTATTCGTACTTATATTATATTTTGAAAAAATCGACTTCTTAAAAGACNTGTATACATTGTAATATGTAAATATGTAAAATATACGTAAACGTATATATTTACATATTATAACATTTATTATTATGTTTATATTATATGTAATATTATATTTATTTATTATATTACATATTATTGTATTTAGATTATAGAGAGATATAATATTTGGCTTAATTAGCTTACTGAAAATATTAAATGTCTTTTGAGAAATCGATATATATATATATTATTATAATAATAATTTGTAAATATATATAATATAATAATAAAATAATAATATAATATATATTATATCTCTCTCTCTCTCTCTCTATATATATATATATATCGATTTCTCAAAAGACATTTAATATTTTCAGTAAGCTAATTAAGCCAAATATTATATCTCTCTATAATCTAAATACAATAATATGTAATATAATAAATAAATATAATATTACATATAATATAAACATAATAATAAATGTTATAATATGTAAATATATACGTTTACGTATATTTTACATATTTACATATTACAATGTATACACACAGTTGCTTTATTATAATATAATATTAAGCAGCGATAAGATTGTGATAACAAGCATAAAACGACGATTTTTAACATTCCAAAAAATTAAATTTTTGAAAAATACATTATCACCTCTCCCGTACATAACGTGTTAACGTCTTCTTCGCATGCATCGTTGTATTATTTGCTTTAATCGTAAACGCGGGCACGTATTTCGACCGCCGTAGATACGAACAATGACAGATGTTTGCACAAACAATTTCGGCCAGAGGTAACAGGATCGTTTAACATCTCCGTCAGAGTAGATCGCGCGGTGCATCGGGAGTTAATTATTCCGCCGGCCCTCCGGGTGGAGCGACGCCGTGTACCGAAACATCTCAAGTTTTCAACTCAAAATAAAACGGCGTCGAGGAGGGCGGGTACGGCGAAACAAACCCCTGTAACTCGACGAGGTCCGTCTCTCTAGCCGTGTGTCTGGCCGAAGCGTCGATGTCGGGAAGAATTATCGCCGGCCGAGGATCAGGAAGTGTCCTCTTACGTCGGCGTTGGCACGCCGATTTTTCACGTTCCACGTTTCCCGGCCGACGATCGATTGTCACCAGGGTTGTTCCGACCGGCGATGGGAGCCCTTGTATTAATATTCGAATACCGTGTCCGGCGTTATTAAGTGCCTTTGTCTCGCCACCGCACGGAAGACGAACGTCCCCGAGATAAGCGATTTCCACGAAGAAGAACGTCGTCCTCCTCCCGCGCCGGCTTTATTATTCGTCGGCCGTGTTCTCCTAGGACGTTGTTTCTGTCGCGGGCCTAACCTCTTGCATCCGTTATTGGCCAGACGTGCCGAGTTTCACGATGCAACGCGCGCACAGTATAAACCGGGCCGCGTTTTTCGTCCGGTTAAATCGTAACTGGCGCGCGAACCGCTCGGCGTTCATGGAAATATTCGAACGGACACCGTGCCTCGGCCAGATAAGACGATAGAAACGCGACGTTCCTGGAAAGACGGCTTGTTCTTACCACCCGGCACCCTGCTAAGCTCGCAATCCTCTTACCAGCTTCCCGAACTTCTGGACACGTGTTCGAAGCTGCCCGAAGTGGCTTTTCCGGGAGCTCTTCATTTAATTATACGGGGCCAGGCGCGGGTGTCGCGGAACTTTCCTCGCGCGGCTCCCGACGCGCCGTTCGTTCCGCTTCCGACCCGAACGGAACTGTTAACTTTCTTTTTTTAGGGCGAAGTTGCTTAACGAACTTCGCGCGGATCGCTTTGATTCGTGAAATATTTCGACTTGGTGGCGGATGATCAGGTTCGACTGCTGCATCGTTCTTGGTTGGTAAATTAGTATTGTGAAAAAACCCCTTTGGGGGGTTTATTTTATATTTATATTATTTTATATATTATATTTTAATTGAATTTATAATAATTCTAATATTCTAATATATATGTATATTAGAATGACCCCTATTTCCGTATTGCAAGATATTTTTGGAACACCCTGTATATTTATATATTACTTATAATATTATTATTATAAGATTAAGTATATTAAATATTACTTTACTATATTATAATATTATATTATTAATATAATATTAATTTAATTAATATAATTTACTATAATAAGTATATCAAGTATATCGTAATATTTATTATATTATAATTAGCCTAATATAATTTTTTATATTATAATTAATATAATGTAATTTATTATATTATAATATTTATTATAAACGTTCTCGTTTGGATTATTACTTGAACAGGTACAGTAACCCACGAAAGTGTTCGAGTACTGTTTAAAGCGGAATAACTTTCTTCAAATTGTGCGAAATGTTTTTTTTTTTTTAGATATTAAAGAGACTAATTCACTGGACGATTCCGAGAAATTAATTTTTTAAAATTGCAATCACTTGTAATGCTTGGTTATGTCAAGTTTATTTGGAACGATTGGAACGAGTTGTTTAAAAATTCCAGGTTCAGATAAGATAGTTGACTCTTTGGAGCACGGCGGAATTAAAAATTTCTTAAAAATGCACGGTGGGACATTTTTAGAGCCACCTCGAAATATTGCAATAGCTGAAATTGAATTGAATTATTATTATTTTTTGTTTTCATATTATGCGATCCCTTTGTTAATAAAATTACACCAATTTTGTTTAATTTTAAACGCAATAAGATTTCTTTGCAACGTGGGCCTACATTATCTTCTAAAATCCCGTGCGCCAAACAGTTAAGAGACGCGAGCTCATCGTTTTATTTGTCATCATCCCTATCGACCGCATACATTGGTAACAAAATAAATTAGCGCAGCCGTGCCTACGTGTATCTCATTCGAAGACGAAAGGATCGCGAAAGTACGCGGCGCGAGCAAAAACCGCTATAAATCCGCGATGCATAAGATCGTCCATTAACAGATCCTCGAACGACAAGAATATTCATGCCGGGGCCCGTAGTAACGCAATTTTTCCGACGAACAAATTTACGGCTGTTTAAATGCTCCGCAAAACGGAGAGTTCCGCAGCGGCCGTCCGACGCGTTCGGCGGGCTGTCTCTTTCATTACCGGCGACGACGCATAAAGAATAAAAATCTCGATTAAACCTGCCTCGGTTCCCGTGCGGGACAGCGGACAGCCGGGTCCCCGAGGCAGGCTAATGGCATAATAAAATAACAGAAGCTCGACCAACCGCGAAAACTTCTTTTTAGAAAGCCTTTTCGCGCAAGAAGAAAGCCTAACGAGCGCGCGAAGGGTGCCAGCCACCCCTGGTCGTGTGTGCGTGCCTGCGATTCCATGGGATTTCGTTCGCCCCTTAAAACGATCTCGTCCCGTATAGCCACGAGGGTCGGCGGAAACTGTTAAATCTATTACGCGTTCGAAGCTCGATCGTGATCACGTCTCCTTCTCCTTCTCGTGAAAAAGGATCCGCTACGAAAGGGAGAGAAGGGATGAAAGCGGGACCGAGGAAGACAAAAATGGTAGACCGGCGAACGGGGA